ATAAATCAGTCAATGTCATCAATTTTAATTATGTAGATAATGATTACTGTAGAAGTACTTTTTTCCGCGTGGTATTTATTTACGCTATGTACGCGGTCACAAATTTTCCGTGGAAATTTGTCCAAGGGTATTTAATGTAAATGTAACGCACATATTGACAATCTAGAAAATCCGCGTCAATTTCTACCCGCGGATTAAACAGAAATTGAGATTCCGAAGTTCGTCTACAGTAATCAAATTGTTTCATTTAATATGAATGCTAATTGAAAATCATTATGTGACATCACTATCTTATAGTCACTTAAGCTTTGCGTGTTTCTTCATTACACAAGCTAGAATTACAAACATTGCTTGGATTATTTGGACATGCAGACAGATGGACATGGACAGTGATTATTTCATACATGTATATACACCCATGACTTTGTTAGCAGGGGAAGGGAAGAGGAGGCCTGGGGTATGTAAGTCTTCCAATGTGACCAAAGAAGAAAATATGGACCTATTAAGACTTCCAAAGAAACTCAAATTATTTCATTACAATTATGCTTGGATTTTGATCAAAAATCAAACTGAATATTTGCAAATACAAGTTTGTTTCAGAAATCCCTATACCATCAATAGTTTTTTCTCAAGATAAGAAATAGAATCAATAGTATACCTCATCACAGTCATCAGCTATCATTCCTCTAATGGCTTTCAATACAAGACGGGACCCTTAAAAAAAGGATAAACTCACTCATTAAGAAATAAAAAGATCACTTGAATATCTTCAAATCTTAAATTCTTCATACCCACGTTTCAAGATCAAATAGGTTCAGTTTATTATTTTTTTCTTTTGCAAGTATAAAATCTAAAGTAAGCAAATGAAATACTAGCTGCAGATATGTAGCATTATGGTTTTATGTATTAGTTTTTTACTATAATGCTATAGATTGATCTTGTTATGCAAACCAGGTCTCAGTCGAGACTGAAGCTCTACTGGTTTGTACTTATAGCAAAGGAAGAGAAAAGTACTTAAGCAGTTGGAAATTGAAACTTTTCAACAGCAATAAATAGAATAATGATCCTTGACTAAGTCTCTTTATGTTCTTAGTGTAGTCTACTTTCATGCCACATTATATTATAATCAGACTAAAACTGTATTTGGAGTAGCATTTTGAGAGTATTTAACAGAAATTTCTATTTTTAGTAACCATGGCAACACCATTCATTGAAGTGAAAAACTGATATATAGAATTATGTACCTTAGTGTAGTCTACTTGTGTGCCAAGTTATATTGAAATCAGACCAAAACTGTAGGAGGAGTAGCATTTTGAAAGAATTTCACAGAAACCTTTCTATTTTTAGTAACCATGGCAACACAGTTCATCAAAATCAAAAACGATACACAGAATTATGTATCTTAGTGTAGTCTACTTGTGTGCCAAGTTATATTGAAATCAGACCAAAACTGTAGGAGGAGTAGCATTTTGAAAGAATTTCACAGAAATTTCTATTTTTAGTAACCAAGGCAACACCGTTCATCAAAATCAAAAACCGATAAACAGAATTATGTATCTTAGTGTAGTCTACTTGTGTGCCAAGTTATATTGAAATCAGACCAAAACTGTAGGAAGAGTAGCATTTTGAAAGAATTTCACAGAAATTTCTATTTTTAGTAACCATGGCAACACAGTTCATCGAAATCAAAAATCGATAAACAGAATTATGTATCTTAGTGTAGTCTACTTGTGTGCCAAGTTATACTGAAATCAGACCAAAACTGTAGGAGGAGTAGCATTTTGAAAGAATTTCACAGAAATTTCTATTTTTAGTAACCACTGCAACACAGTTCATCGAAATCAAAAATCGATATATAGAATTATGTATCTTAGTGTAGTCTACTTGTGTGCCAAGTTATATTGAAATCAGACCAAAACTGTAGGGGGAGTAGCATTTTGAAAGATTTTCACAGAAATTTCTATTTTTAGTAACCACGGCAACACCGTTCATCAAAATCAAAAACCGATATACAGAATTATGTATCTTAGTGTAGTCTACTTGTGTGCCAAGTTATACTGAAATCAGACCAAAACTGTAGGAGGAGTAGCATTTTGAAAAATTGTTTACAGACAGACAGACAGACAGACGGACGGACGACGGACGCATTACTATCACATAAGCTCTTCTGGTCTCTGACCAGTAGAGCTAAAAATGCACAATTTACGGCTCAAGAGTTTTTAAGCACTATTTGGGAGAATTTCTCCACTTCCAAGCATTGAATAATCAACCACCATTTACTCCATGATTCTAGAAACATATTTAAACCAATCTGTATATTTTATCCACCTTCCAAACCTTATTATTGTCTCTGCAGGGGATAAACTAACTTGATTTAAATATTGTCTGTTGGATTTCAGAAAATTCAAATTTAGCGAGTTTACTGCTTGTAGAGACAACTTTAAAGGGTAGGGAAGTGGATAAAATATAAGGATTGGCTAATTAATGTGTCTAGAATTAGAGTGTGAATGATAGTTGATTGACCAATGCTGTAAAGTGGTGTTCTCTAAAACATTGCTAAAAAAAATCTTGCCCAATGAATTGCACATTTTTTTTTATTACGGGATCTGTAGCATAATGGTCAAAGACTAATATAAGAAACCATAACACATAATACAATTACTGCAATACATGCACAATCAAGTAAATATATAATCATGATAATCTGTTCCATATCTCTATATACAGTGAATCTGCCTAATGACCCATCACATAAAAATATCATCCGTTCCACATCAATCTCTAAAAACAGGGTAACTCACCTATCTTTTTCCTCCTGTAATCTGCATCAACAGCCAGCATTGCTATATACCCTCTTCGTACCATTTTCTTGTGCATATCTAATTTACAAACTATGGCACCCACACATTTCTCTTTATCCATGGCCTACAATTATATCAGTTTCAGCGAAAGGTGTAACAGTACTCTTCATTATTTTTTTTCTTACTAGTCCATTTGGTCAAGAGACAATGAAATTTACTTGTCCGATATTAAATTCAAACTTGTCCTTTTTTCAAAAAAGAGCTATATGACCACTTATTATTACATGTTTAAATTGAGTCTATATCAAATTCACTGAGTCTTTGTTATGATTATTTTGACACTCAACAAATCATGCCTCTCAGTTTTATCATCCTATCCATAAAAGCCCAGGGTTCATTAGTAATGCAACATGATATTTAAAATTGTATCAAGTTTATAAAGTTTGATGAAAATATTTTGAATACATCCTTTAAAACCAAGTTTGAATGAGCAAAATCTTAACTGAACCAAGTTATTAACAAACAAGTTGAGGAAACAAGAATATCATTTAAAAAGTCATCACAAGTTATTTGGTCAAAACAGTGTCTTTTTCAGCAAAGAAAATATATCATAAGGTCAAATGCTGACTGCTTTTTTCATACTGTTAGACCATTATTTAATATTTAGACATTGAGATGTCAAAAAAATTTTCTGTTATAACTTATTCCAGATCATGACAAGGAACACAAAGCAGAAGTGACCAGTTGGCAGGGAATGCTCACTGACTCACTAGTCACTTCCCCTAGGACCTGATCACATCTCTGATGTTTTAGAGGTCTGTATTTGCTCTGTTCCAAATTTTTTTTTTTAGTAAGCTTTTGAGTTTGACACTGTTTGTTATCACCATAATTATACTTCATATACCTACTCTAAACCTGACTGAATAACACAATTATAACAGGGTTGTCCCCATGACTATGATGACCCAGGGAATTCCTGTCTATAATGATGTAATCCCCAGTTACTCTGGTATTCCCTCTCACCCCATGTTAAGGACAGTATCCGGAAAGAAGAATGTCAGTAAATTGATACTGAATCGTTTCACTCCTATTGATAGGATAGGTTTCTAGGTAGGAGACGATTTTGTCACTCTGTTTTCAATAACACTTGCAAATAATGAAATTAAAATAGCTAGAAATAGGGGAGAAAACTTTGTAATTAATTAAAAAAAATAACTGGACCAAGACTGGCTGGAGTATAAATTTCGGCCATTTTTTACTCAGTCTGGAGGGGGCAAACACAATATTTCTTAAAGATCGTTGTCATACTTAGCTAAATTATAAAAAAAAATATTCATGGGTATATTTTCATTTTCACATTGTAATTCACTGCTCACCAAAAAGCACAGCTTTGGCCAGTTGTGGATAAAATATCTGTATGTGTAAATGGAATAGGGTTCAGAAAGATCTTTGGTAATGAGCCTCATAATGTCCGGCATTTGTTTTTCTGATTCATATATAGTGTAACTGATTCCATCTACTTCCTTGATTTCTTCCTGTAATTGTGGTTCGATGTGGACTCTTCGCACTGACTCACAGAGCAGGTGCTCTGAACTTTCCTCAACTTCGTGTTCTTTTGAATGATCACATGTGCACTGAGCCAGTAACTCTCTCTTATAATTGTCTTGATCTCTAGGATGATTATGGACAATGCGGCCATTTTCGTCCTTGGTGTGATTTAATTTGCCATTCGGTATTTTTCCTTCCACTTTTGGTTTACTTTCCTCTGCAGAGATTGAGAGTGGGAGGGTAGGACTTTTGTTCACTTCTGAGCTCATTAGTGAAGGCTCTGCTTCAGAAATCATTGTTCTAAAATGTAAATCAGTAAACTTATTTAAATCTAAGTCTGATTTTTAAAGAGTAAGTCATCTTTAACAAATAAACAGAAATTTGTCCTTGCTACGGAAAAAGTGAAGGATCATGTATCGTCCATGTTGCTGTGGAATAGTCAACTTCCGGTGAAACTAATATTCATGCGCTAGAATAATAATTATTTGAAATTTATTTCAAGAGTAAATATAGAACCAACATTCTTTTTGAAATAGAAAATGTAATTTTGATTTTCATCGGTTACCTCCATAAGTTTTCTGATTAAAAAATTTTTCCCGAACTATTTTACTCGTATTCATATCCGTCGCTGTTGCTGGGCACTTCCCGTTGGAACTGAGAGTGTAGTATTTGATGCACATGGTTCTGTGGAGCACAATGAATATATGGAGGGTAGAGTCTTGATAAAGACATAACATTTTTTCTTCAATCCAGATATTTACTATCTTCTAGGTACGTTTCACGGCCTTCATGACATTAATGAAAATCTTGGATTATGCAACCACCTGTCATTGCAATGTCGAATTAGAATAATCTAACTGTGTCTCGGGACAGGCCGTCACCACAGTTAGAATACGTCCCATATGCTTGCAATGTAGTAAATCGGAGCGGATCAGCTCTGAAATAATTTTGAAGTCAAGAATACAAAAGGGGTTAAATAAGGCTGAAAATAACTACCAAATTATTCAAAAACAAACCATTTTGAGATTGGATAAGGCTTTAATCCCCAAAGAAATCCATATGAAGACGAAAATTCAACTAATTTTTTCAGTGGTTTTTCTCGCTTCAAATTTACCTGCCATGGTTACATTTGGTCGAACTCGATGGAATTCTTTCAATCTTTGTTTGTAAATGCATTCATGCATTGAGTACGAATTATTGTCCATGTTTTTTTTTGGTACATTACGAAATACACGGAAGAAATTCTATTGTTAAGGTTTCGTCAAAGGTCAACATGTCCAAAAATTTATTTTTACAACAGCCCCAAAACTAGGTGAGGTATAAAGTTAAAACTTTTACAGTTTATAATTTTTTCATTGATTAACAGATAGAAAGTATCACTTGATAAAAAAAAAAAAATACTTAGAATAATATTGATTGAGAAAAATTCTTCTTAAAAATGCATATATTTTCAAAAAAAAAAAAAAAAAAAAATACACCTAATTAATTCCGTGCTCTTATTGAAAACCATCATTGCAGAAACAAAATATGTTTATCAATGAAGCGCAAGTTGGACTTGGATAGCCTCTGGAAAGTTGTTTTCCCTGTTTATTTTGTCCAAATGTTTAGACTTGAAAGTAAAAGTACATTGCAAATGGAAGCTCTATAGGGGTCTTGTCTTTATACATGTATGCATTCAATAACAGCCTTTCAGAGACCATTCACACCCAACCTGCCCTTCAGTGATTTACATGTATTATTTCCACAATGTTGGTTTTAACAAAAAGAACAGAATTAAGCAGGTGCATTTTTCTTTAAATATGCACATTTTTTGATACAATTTTTCTCAAAAAATATTTTTTAAAAATTATTTGTTATCAACTGATACTTTCTATCTATTAATCAATAATAAATTTATAAACTATAAATGTTTTGACTTTATACCACACATATTTTTGGAGCTATTGTTAAAATAATTTTTTAGACATATTGACCTTTGACGAAACCTTAAACCAGGTCTGTAGGAATATATCATTTTAACAATAGAACGTTCTTCCTAGGCCTGCCCTGGCTGCAGAATTGTAGCAGTATTGTTTTACCAGTATATATTTAAGACAGAGCAGCTAGGGAATATTTGCCACTACTGGGCATATTTATTAATTTTTAGTTAGGAAAAAAAGGGCATGGCAATGATTATGATGTCGCTGGAAAAATGCCCAAGGTGCTGCACCATGCTAGTTTGCTTTAGATTTATCACTGTTAAATGTTTTTTTTTTTGGCTTTACAGTTTTGAACAAATTGATATCTGCATGTCATAAAAATCACAGACTTAGAAATTAATTATTTTTTTACATTTTCATTACACACTCATGACCTGATAACTAGACAAATTCAATATACATTTATTCAATCGAAAAGCATCTTAGAGAAATTACATACTTAAAAGTATACACACTATAACTTGTGTCAGTTTAAATAAGATTGGAAATTTATGTATTTTGTTAATCAATAAAAGTTGCGAAAATACTGTAAATTACACCATTAAAATTAAACGCGTTATAAAGTTATCAAATTATAATTATTTATAACCCTGCTAGGAGAGAAATGGCTATTTTAAAATAAATCCATCACGTGACGCCGTCGCTACTTTTAGATTGATAAACAAACATGGCGTCAAGAAAACGAGAAAGGCCATTTGAGATACAACTCATTTTTGACGTGGATGGCAAGCGTCTTACTCTTAATGATACTTTTTTTTTAATGTAATCATTATCAACCATCTACTCTGTTATGACGCATACAAACCTTTTATTAATAATTGTTGTCAAAACGCAACATTCCTCGTTATCTGTGATTTCCCGTGGACATGCGTGTCTATATACAGGTCTACTGTTTACGCACTTCCTTCATTAATATTCATGAAAAGACTGAATTCTTAATTGCCAGATATTGCTGAATTGTTTTGTTATTACAACGACATCTATATAGTAAAATTTTGTGGAAAGTATTATTTTTTCATTTACACTCCATCTGTTTCAAATCATTAAAACATTTTGTTTCACACAACATTCGGCGTTCATATACGTGTGTATGACTTTAAGCTGTTAAAATATCTATGAAAATTAAAGGGAAAAAAATTGAAAGTGCTGAAAAAAATGATTGGGTAGGGGCAAATTTTGAAGCGTCGTTCAAGTATATCAAACAAATTATTTTTTATTTATCATAAAAATGAGATATTATTTTGTGAAAACGAGATATTATCTCATGAAAACAACTTTATTTTCTCATTAAAATGACACATTTTGTGAAAATGACTTATTTTTAGCTCACCTGAGCCGAAGGCTCAAGTGAGCTTTTCTGATCACATTTTGTCCGTCGTCCGTCCGTCTGTAAACTTTTCACATTTTCGACTTCTTCTCAAGAACCAATGGGCCAATATTAACCAAACTTGGTACAAAGCATCCTTAGGTGAAGAGGAGTTTAAATTGTTAAAATAAAGGGCCAAGTCCCCTTACAATGGAGATAATCAAGAAAAACCAAAAATAGGGTTGTGTCATTAAAAAATCTTCTTCTCAAGAACCATTGGGCCAGGAAAGCTGAAACTTTATATGTGGAAGCATCCTTGGGTAGTGTAGATTTTAAATTGTTAAAATCATGACCCCCGGGGGTAGGGCGGGGCCACAATAGGGAATACATAGAAATATAGTTTTACATAGAAATATAAAGAACAAATCTTTAAAAATCTTCTTCTCAAGAACCACTGGGCTAAGAAAGCTGAAACTTATGTGAAAGCATCCTTGGGTAGTTAAAATATTAAATGGTAAAAATTATGACCCCCGGGGGTAGGGCGGGGCCACAATAGGGAATTCCAAGTTTTACATAGAAATGTATAGAACAAATCTTCTCAAAAACCACTGGGCCAGGAAAGCTGAAACTTATGTGGAAGCATCCTGGTGTATTGTAGATTCTAAAGTGTTAAAATCATAAAAGGGAAGGGGGTAGGGGGCACGATAGGTATAGCAAGAGGGAAAATCTGGTAAAGAACTACATCATCCAAGTTACTCAGGTGAGTGATGTGGCCCATGGGCCTCTTGTTTTGACTTGTTATCATGTGAAATTGCCATATTATTTCAACTTTAAATTTTGTTACTGTAAACATTTAACAACCTGATTTAGCATTTTGCTATTCGTTGTCAAATATGGATGAAGAGTATACAGGAGAGATATCATTCAGGAATGCTTGAAATGACATTTAAATATTCCACAATACAATGATGATCATGAAATTGGGACATTTCTGTCATATTCATTTATGTTTCCAGATTTCTTGATTTAATATGTTTTTTACTTATACATCCCTTCAATGTAAATGCATGCTCGTTTTCACAAGAAATTATGTTGTTTTCACAAGATGATATCTCGGGTTTTGTTTATGTCTCGTTTTAAAAACAAAATAAGACATTTTCACGGAATAATTTTCTGTTTTCACGAGATGTCATTTTCATAAGACAGTTTCTTGTATTTGGTAAAATAAGAAGTTGTTCTCATGACATATTATCTCATTTTACCGAGAAATTATGTAGTTTTCATGAGATAATATCTCGTTTCATGAGAATCGATAAATTATTCCTGGTTTCTTAAAAAAATTTCAATTACGCGTCCTTAATATACCAGCGTACAAATGGATACAAAGGTAATTAGTTCGACATGTGTATCCCTGCACATGTATACATTGTAGATAATTAAATAACTTCTATTGAATACTAAAGTATGCATTGTGATAATTAAAACAACAAAGCTTTATATGTACAAGTGATAACTGTGATATGTGATCAGATGCTGAACTTAATATTTAATGCCCCCCTTCAAAGAAGGGAGGGCATATTGCTTTGCTGCTGTCTGTCTGTCGGTTCACCATCAGTTTCCATTCATTTTCTTCGGAGAGGTTGCACATATTGAAATGAAATTGATATACAAATTTATCATAAGAATTTCCAGGTCAAGTTCTGTTTTTGGTTCTTTCGGACCATTTTGGACAGAGTTATGCCCCTTGGACTTAGAAAAATTCCAATTATTTTGGGGAGGGGAGCATAAGTGTTTTACAAACATCTCTTACTACTTTTTGATCTTGAACTACAGAAAATTTAAGAAGGAATTTATTAAGCATTCATATATTTTGTTTGACAGGTGAAGCATAATTATCCAGAACATTGCTGCCATGAGTACGGCACCAAATAAGAAGGCTCGAGAAATATGTTGGTCATTCCGAGACAAATTATTTGAATGTCTGGACAAAAATAATGAGGATCTTTCAAAGTGCTCAGAAGAAATCAAAGGAGTTGAAAACAACTGTTCCAAGTTGTGGGTTAGTATATGTTTATTGGAGGGTACTAAATGTAGTATTTATTATTCTATTACATGTGTATAAATTTTAACTTATGTAAGATTTGAATAATACGAGATAAATCAAAAAACAAGAAATGCAGAACTGCAAATATTTTTTATATGTATTAGAAAATAATTCCCGCCCTAAACAATTTAATGTTTACATGTACCAGACAATATGTAGTCTAAAACTGTTAAAACTTTTTATTTCCAGTCCAAGTATTTTCTGAAGAGAAGAAATTACCTGCAATTTAGGGAAAAGGTTGAAAAAGAGGGATTTCAGTACACAGAGAATGAAGGAAAATAAGTTATTTAAATGGTACATTTGAAGTGACTTTATTTCCAAACTTCAAACAAATATGTACAACATATTGTTGCAAGTATTTTTAGTTGTGTGTAATATTTTTCTATAATGTTTGAATAAAAAACCTCTTCAATTCCGAGTATTTTCTTAGAGAGTTGATGATCAAAAGGCAGTGACTACTTCAGTAGAGGTATATACACTATACATGTACATGTATATGAAAAACAGAGATTACAGATCTCACCTCAACAGAAGGCTGTCAAATGTTGTCTTCAAGAAAAGAGAAGTCTTACTCTAGATACTAGTAAACTTATAATCTAGTACTAAGTAGTTTGTATCGCTAGGTCAACATTTATGCAATTTTGGTCTGATAGGGCTTGCAGTTACTTGGAAAGCCTCATCCTTTAAAACAACTCATCCAGAAAATGTAAATCAAACATCGTATCTGAGTGTTCATCCCTTGATGCATCATCCATGCAAGTTTGATTCAGATAGGCATTACAGTTTCTTGACCATGTAATGGACGTGTTGTAAAAGATTTAACCTGGTCATTCATCTGGAAAATTTATAGGTCAGATCTAGCATCCAAAGCAAGTCCAGGAGTGTGCTTTCTAAGATGTTATCATCCATGAACATTTGTGATCTGATTAAAATTAAACCATCTACTAGCTCCTTTACTTTGATGGTTGCAAAAAGAACAAGAGGCCCATGGGCCACATTACTCACCTGAAGAACTTTGGTGATGTCGTTCTTTACAAAATTTCCCCCTTGTAATACCTATCATGGCACAGCCCTTAATCTTCTTCTCTGCTCCTGGCTATATTACATAAACTAACCAAGTACACAGTTGTGTTGAATAAGGCTGCCTCTTCCGAAATTTCGTGGCCCTAGGGTCAATGGTTCTGATATTAAGGCAGGGCTCTATTGAGTATATAGTGAAAATGCATGAATTATTTGAAAATCTTCTCCTCTGCCCCTGACTATTAAACAAACTAACTATAAAGTGCATAGTTATAATGAGCGAGAATGCTTCTTCCAAAATTTTGTCAGGGGATCTGGTGTTAGGGTGGGGCTCTATTGATTATATAGTGAAAATACATCAATTCTTAAAAAATGTTTTCTCACCTCTTAGGTATTAAATAAACGAACCAAGTATGTAGTCATGTTGACTTATAAGGCTGCCTCTTCCAAAATTGTGAATTTATTGGCCCCAGGGTCAAGGGTTGTGGAGCAGGGTGGGGCTTTATTGATTATATAATGAAAATGCATGAATTCATTGAAAAATTTTTCCTTTGCTCCTGGGTATTATGCCAATGATTTAGGTACATACTTAGATGAAGAAAAGTGCCTCTTCCAAAATGGTTAATTTCAGGGGTACTGGTATGTGTATATATTTTGAAAATAAATTAATGCTTTGAAATCTGCTTTTTGGTATTAATCAACCATTTACGATGAAATAAAATTTATGATAAAATTTCCAAAATTTTGAAATATGTGGCCCCAGGGTGAGTGGTTCCTGTGGAGTGGGTGCACAACTGATGATTATAAAGTGAAAACAAAAGGCCCATGGGCCACATCGCTCACCTGAGGAGCTTTGACCATGCTGTTCTTTACCAGATTTCCCCCTTGTAATACCTTTTGTGACCCCACCCTACCCCCGGGGGTCATAATTTGGACAATTTAAAATCTACACTATCCCAGGATGCTTCCACATAAATTTCAGCTTTTCTGGCCCAGTGTTCTTGAGAAGAAGATTTTCAAAGATTTTTCCTATATATTTCTATACAAAACTTGGATTCTCTATTGTGGCCCCGTCCGCACCCCAGGGGTCATGATTTGAACAATTTAGAATCTACACTACCCCAGAATGCTTCCAAACAAGATTCAGCTTTTCTGGCCCAGTGGTTCTTGAGAAGAAGATTTTTCCTATATATTTCTATGTAAAACTTTTGATTCTCTATTGTGGCCCAGCCCTAACCCCGGGGGTCATAATTTGAACAATTTTGAATCTACAGTACCCCAGGATGCTTCCACATAAGTTTCAGCTTTTCTGGCCCAATGGTTCTTTAAAAGAAGATTTTTAAAGATTTTTCTTATATATTACTATGTAAAACTTGGATTCCCTATTGTGGCCCCGCCCTAACCCCGGGGGTCATGATTTGAAGAATTTAGAATCTACAATACCCCAGGATGCTTCCACATAAGTTTCAGCTTTTCTGGCCCAGTGGTTCTTGAGAAGAAGATTTTTTAATGACCCCACCCTATTTTTGTCTTTTCTTGATTATCTCCCCTTGTGTGGGGAATTGGACCTTTATTTTAACAATTTAAATTCCCCTTAACCCAAGGATGCTTTAAACAATTGGTCAAAATTGACCCATTGGTTCTTGAGAAGAAGTTGAAAATGTGAAAAGTTTACAGACAGACGACGGACAAAATGTGATTAGAAAAGCTCACTTGACTAAAAATGCATTTTCTTTTTAGCTCACCTGAGCCGAAGGCTCAAGTGAGCTTTTCTGATCAAAATTTGTCCGTTGTCTGTCGTTGTCGTCATCGTAAACTTTTCACATTTTCATCTTCTTCTCAAGAACCACTGCGCCAATTTCAACCAAACTTGCCACAAAGTATCCTTGGGTAATGGGGATGCAAGTTTGTTCAAATGAAGGGCCACACCCTTTTCCAAGGGGAGATAATCATGAATTAGTGAAAAATTAATGGCATTTTTAAAAAATCTTCTTCTCAAGAACCACTGGGCCAGGAAAGATGAAACTTATGTGGAATCATCCTCAGGTAGTGTAGATTCAAGTTTGTTCAAATCATGACCTTTGGGTGTAGGGTGGGGCCAAACTAGCCGATCAAAGTTTTATGTAGTAGTATATAAGAAAAATCTTTAAAAGTCTTCTTCTCCAGAACCACTGTGCCAGGAAAGATGAAACTCATGTGGTACCATCCTCAGGTAGTGTAGATTAAGTTTGTTCAAATCATGACCCCTGGGGCCAAAATGGCCAATCAAAGTTTTACAAGGGAATATATAGGAAAAATCTTCTCAAGAACCACTGGGCTAGGAAAAATGAAACTCTTGTGGAATCATCCTTGGGTAGTGTAGATTTAAGTTTGTTCAAATTATGACCCCCGGGGGTAGGGTGGGGCCAAAATGACCGATCAAAGTTTTACATAGGAATATGTAGGAAAAATCTTTAAAAATCTTCTCAAGAACCACTGGGCTAGGAAAGATGAAACTCACGTGGAATCATCCTTGGGTAGTGTAGATTCAGGTTTGTTCACATCAAGACCCCAGGGGGTAGGGTGGGGCCAAAATGGCCGATCAAAGTTTTACATAGGAATAGATAGGAAAAATCTTTAAAAATCTTCTTCTTAAGAACCACTGTGCCAGAAAGATGAAACTCATGTGAAATTATCCTTGGGTAGTGTAAATTCAAGTTTGTTCAAATTATGACCCCTGGGGTAGGTTGGGCTAAAAAATATTGGCTGATCAAAGTTTTACGTAGGTATAATAGGAAAATCTTTAAAATCATCTTCTTAAGTACTTCAAAGCCATGATTAGAGTTATTTATATGGAATTATCCTCATGTAGTGTAGATTCTAGTTTGTTCAAATCACAACCCCCAGGGATAGGGTGGGCCACAATGGGGGATCCAAGTTTTACATTAAAATATATTTAAAAAGTCTTCTTATCAAGAATAGCATAGCCATGATTAGTGGTACAAGTATTTATATGGAAGCATTCTCAGGTAGTGTAGAATAAAGTTTGTTCAAATCATAACCCCCAAGGGTAGGTTGGGGCAACAACGGTGGATCAAAGTTTTACATAGAAAAATAAAGGGAAAAATCCCAAGAACAGAAAAGCCACGTTTAGTCATATTGGCTTGTAAGCATCCTCATGTATTGAAGGTTTAAATTTGTTCAAATCATGGCCCTATAGGATGGGGAGGGAAACTATAGGGAATCAAATTAAAATTATTACAAAATAATATATAGGAACAAAATGTTTAAAAAAGAAATCTTTTTATAAATAACAGCAAAGTCATAAGCTGGATTGATATGAAAGCATTCTCAAATAGTATTAAAAATGAAGCCCCCCCCCCCCCTTCACCTCTTTAAACTTTCAGTTCTGATCTGATATGTTATTTCCTAGCGGATGTGCTGAGGTGAGCGATGTGGCCCCTGGGCCTCTTGTTTTTTATTCTGATCTACCTCTGGGTATTAAGTAACCAAAGTAAGCATGCTAAGTGTATAGTTATGAAAAGCAATGATGCCTTTTTCAAACTTCATGGCCTCTTGCTTAAAACATAAACTAAATTCAATTGTTGGAAAGTTGTAATGTAATATATAAGGGATAAAAAGCAGAAGAAATACACCAAAAGTGGAAAAAAGGGCAGGTATGAACCTAAATAATGGAATGCTTCAATGCAGTATTATAAATTTAATTTCATTTGCATGTACAAAGGAAAAAGGATGCAATTCAATATCAACAATTTTTCAGGATTTCATGGTTTTTAGACATTTTGATCAACAAGACCCCTTTAAGTAAAATATCAATGATATCTAAATTTAATGACAAAAGAAAACAAGAGGCCCACGGGCCTTATAGGTCACCTGAGTATCATGTAACAACTTTCCAGCGATTGTATTTGGTTCGTGTTTTAATCCAAAAGCCATGAAATTCACAAATTTTGAAGGAGGCACCATTGCTTATCAAAGGGCAGATTTCACAGCATTAATTTATTTTTAGTCAAAGTACCCCCCTGGTACCCCTGACCCAGCGGCCCTGAAATTACCTATTTTGAAAGAGGCCTCTTTCTTCATTATAAGGCCAGCATTTTTTTTAATGTTTAGGTTTAGTTATGAACATGAGAATAAAAAAGTCCCGAAAGGAGAAGGAAATAAAAAAAAAATTTTGAAATAAATCAATTATTAACATTTGTACATTCTTTTTTATGCTATTCTAATAGGCTCCTTACCACTGGACACATAATGCTTACAAATAGGAAAGTAGAACATTCAATTGCTTATTTCATCATCTGCCAGTTTGGGCCAGTTATATAAATTTTGTGATGTTTTTTTTTTTAATTTTTCATTTACCCCATCACATGAATATGGTGATCAATAAGTTTACAGCCAAGGTTGGGGAGCCTTGGATTCTACAAACTAATTTGACAAAGTCCTTATATTAAACATACATCTTGTGAGAAGTGACAGGTGAAGTTTTTATAAACAAAAAAGAAAAAAAACATTCACACTTCAGTCATACATATATGTGTATGCAAGCTTAATCAACTAAATGATACAAAGAAATTAATTGTTTCTATAATAAGTAGTTGAAACAGCAGGGTATTTTTAAATAAAACCATTTTACAGTGCATATTCTAATGGTACACAGCTCCATTTTCTATCAAATTTCTCAATTTCACAGTTTTTCTTGTAAATATATTTCTCACATTTATAATAGTACAAAATCTCATTTTTTAGCTCCTTCAAATGAAGGAATTTGTTTTAAACATCTTTTTCGGTATATGTGCTTCTTTACAATACATGTTATCAAATTTACAAAGTTATAAAACTTAAAATAATTTCCAATAATTATGTCCAATTTATTCATTGCAATATCAATTCCAGATATTTCTTTTATCCAATCATGAATTTTTTCCCAAATCTCACTAACATATTCACATTCCCAAAGTAAATGTCCCAGTGTTTCTGGATGTATATTACAAAAAGTACACAATTCTGATTCTACAATCCCAATCTTGTTTAAAAATGCGTTTGTTAAATTTTGTGATGTTGGTCAAAATATATTTTAAAAAATCAATTCTTTAAGTCTTTCAATATATCTTCATTTTTTTTAATATTTGTTAGGTGAATGTGTAGACATTGTTCTAAAATTTACTTGATGCCTAAAAGTATTGGGGAGTAGGGTGAACATTTTTTCAATTAAGTGTAAAATAATTTTTCTGGCTGATACAAATGATACTACATGCCTGTATATATTTGTATATTCTTGCCTTTTAATAGTTGATTTTTTTTTCTTCAGGTTATTGTTTATTTCTTCCTCAAATGGACTTAACTTCTCTCATAGTTTTATTCATCACATCTGATGCATAAGCAACCCTTTTCTGAAGAATGATGCTTAGACGTAAGCTATAACAGAGACCTAAACAATGTTGCTGGCAATATGCAATAGCTACCACGGGCAGTTTAAAACCTGGGGGAGGAAAATAATTTACAGACAGATACTTTTGAAACGAATACATAATTATCTCACCAGCATGTCATTGTGCAACAAAGTCGTCAACATTTTATTTGTCCTTTGAACGGGTGAAACGTTTTGAATGGCACTCTTTTACACTAAACCAAGCTATCTTCTCAGATCTAGCTTTATTCACCCGCCATTTCATCTTAAAACCGGAAGTGCGAGTTCGTAAATTTGAAATCTCGATCCCGACTCAAATTTGACATCGGAAAGAAAAAAATTACTTTGGGTGCAAAACACAGTTTTATGTATGACGTTATCAGGACGTTACTTGGTGAGGGACAAGCAAAACTGACCCCTATAAAAAAATAAAATGGAGGCTTGTTACATAGACTTCTGCATATCAATGGAAAGATAAAATTGTGAATTTTGTAAATATTCAACTATAATACATTCATCAATTACTACTAGGGGGTATTTGACACCTGAAATATGGGGGATATTGGGTTGTTTATGCATCCATTTTCAGTGCACCTATGCATTTTTAACCCCCCTGCTCAACAAAAACAGAAAAAATCAGACAAAATAAGTTGCATGCATTTCACAGAACAAGTCTTAAGGTTTTCTTTTAGTGTGCTTTCAGGGTACATTTTCCACCTCTTGAAAGAGCTACATTACCTGCTAATTGACTCGTGCAATTCTGCACATGTGAAAACTGGATGTTTTGGGAGTTATCTCCCCCTATTAAAAAGTATCACAATTTTTTTTTCTAAAAATGAATGCACATTTTTTTCTTTAAATATTAAGATAAGACTCTACTTTATGCGAATAAAAATAAAAAAGATGCAGTTTTCATCTAGACTCCTATAAATAGTAGGAAAATCCCTACCCAGCATGCTTCTCTCTGGGAAAAACCCCCTGGATTTTATACGAAACTGTGTTTAGCTACCTTTATTTTTTTTCTGAAAATTCAAAACCTTTAGCGGAGGGTTTGTAAAACTGAAAAGTTTATTTAATACCCAAGAGCAGAGAAGAAGTTTTTCAAAGAATTCATGTATTTTCACTATATAATCAATAGAGCCCCGCCCTAACACCAGAACCCCTGACCCTGGGGCCATAAAATTCACAATTTTGGTAGAGGCACTCTTGCTCATCATAACTATGTACTTAGTTGGTTTATTTAATACCCAGGAGCAGAGAAGATTTTCAAAGAAATAATGCATTTTCACTACCTACTTATTTAGCCCCGCCCTAGCACTAGAAACCCGACCCCAGGGCCATGAATTTCACAATTTTGGTAGAGGACTCATTGCTGATTACAATCATGCAAACAGTTTGACTGCTTGATGTCCAGGAGTACAGAAGAAGATTTTTAAAGATTGCATTAATTTTAGTGGTTTTGGCCCCACCCCTCAGGCCCCAGGGGGGCAGGGATCATGAAATTCACAATTTTTGTTCCCCTTTACCCATAGATGCTAAATGCCAAATTTGGTTGAAATTGGTTCAGTGGTTGCAGAGAAGAAGCTGAAAATGTTCAAATGTTAACGCACGACGGACGACGACGGACGAAAACAGATAGCAATAGGTCACCTGAGTTTACTCAGGTGACCTAAAAAGTGTAACATTAATATATCTATAAATAAATTTTTTACTAGCTAAACTCCATGCTCTTTAAAAAATCTAGTAGAGAGGTATGTAAAATTATTTGTTGATTTGTATACATGTATTATCATAGTAATGGTGATCTTCTCATCTGAAAAGTTTGCTTGTTTATATAAATCTACATGTACATATCTTTTCATTGTAGATTAAAGCTCAACACGACAATTAAAAAGGCAAACATCATTTTGGTTTTCTCATTTCTTATATTAGCACTCAGTAATAAAGACCCTTTAAATTTGTTAAACCTGATTGCTTTTAGCTAGTCATTACAGTATCAGTGCAGCTAATATTGCCATTTTTGTTTATGTTTTATTTCATAAAAAAAACAAGCATTTATGTTTACTTGTGTTGACCTATGCAATAAAAATAGTGAGTGTCATTGTTATCTTTTCCCCTGACATCCCATAAATCAACTAAAATCATTTTACTCTAGCCCGTTCACATTGGCTATGAAGTAGACTTTTGTTCAGATCAATTCTATGAAGCAAAATATATCAAAATCTAAACAATTGGAGGACAGAGAGAGCTACAGTCCTTTTAAGAAATGTGGTCAGCCTAAATTTTTCCTAGAATTTAAAACAAAAAAAAAAACCACACTTATTTTCCAACAAATCATTAATTAGATATTTATAAAACAACTTCTTTCTTAATTTACTACACTTACAACCTCTCATTAACAATATATACAACATACATGATATTTTAATGCAGATACATGTATAAATTGGCTTATTTTGTTCACTGAGTCTGTTCTTTAACAATGCACATACAAACAAACAACTGATAAATCTCAGCAATGACTTTTATACACCAAAAATAAATAATGCATGTACTAGAACTGTACAGATAAAGGTTTTCTGGACAGATAAAAATATTTCATTCATAAGAGAAAACAAACAGCACTTCTTGTACTCCAGCATGACATCTGAATGTGGAATCATAACCCACTCATAACTCTCCTGTAAGTCTATGTAATTATAGATTAAATAATATTGATATATTGAAACTTTTTAGATGAACTATGCAATAAACTTGTATAATCATTTTTACAGTCATTAATGCTAAATGATTCGATTAACATGATTAAATCAGGAATTATTATGAAAATATTGGAGAAGATACAAATTGTCAAAAACCATTGATAATTTACAAGTGTATTTCAAAATAAAAGTTTATGAATGAAGTAGATATTCAATGGAAAAGAAAACAGGAGGTTCGCAATGACACTAGGTGACAAATATTCTGAGAATCTTATTCACTGTATAGGAGAGGTTGAGTATAAGATATCTGGGTAGCTCCAATTGTTAGATTGGAAAAACCTACAGACGGTCACCCAAAGTGGGCTATTAAAAGCAATTATAAAACATTCTATTTTTTGATTAAAAATCTAAACAAAATCTAGATTTTTCAAGTATACAAATTTGTGTTTCATAACACATTGTATTGAATAATAGTTTATTTTGGCATGCACAATCAATTTTAATGTAACAGAAAACAGAGTCTCTCACATCCATGAAAACACATATCTAGTGTAGCTTGCCAAAAATGTGGGTATAATTCATCAGATTCTTCACCCACACATGGATTTACATGGTCAGCTGCTTAACAAGTTACTGGCAAGCACAAGTCTTGTGTTGTCTTGGAGATGTCCTTGACACCTGAACACCGAGGCTACGGACAGCTGGCAGTGACTGTCTGCTTTAGAAGCACCACCTGAGATTTAGTCAGTGGAAGAAAATTAAATACATGTACATAATTATACATAAAATTAAGTTAATAGTTTTGAATTAAAAATCAGACGAAGGTTTATAAATTAGTAAAACAAATTCACTAATAGGCTTGATTCTTTTTAGTTGGTAACATGCTAGATGTGTTGACATTTGCTATATGTATTCTAAAGAATGTGATGTGTCAAAAATTCCTTTAAAATAAGTCAATACAGGGTGTCTTCTATAATGAAGAGGCGAAGCTTGTTTTTAGAAACCTTCCAAAGTTTAAACTATCATGGAAATTGGATTTATCACGTAATAAATTGTACTCACATAAACATTGCACATTTAGAAGTTCCAGCTTCAGCAGAAATCATACTCTGACTTCCTTTTCTGTTTGAGTGCCTTTGAAGAAAATAAAATAAAATGAAAATGAAATGCTTCTTTGCCTTTTTTAAAAATATATATACATTGTTTTCATTTCAATCATGGATATTCTTCCCTTAATATACATATTTTGAAAGAAAATTGTGATAAACATGTATGAGTCATAAATACATTTATTGTCCAACCTTTTTAATTGCTGTCCAGTCTTCTATAATTTCTACATCCTTTAACATGTATACTATATAGGGCCCTAAAGAAAACCAAAATGATATCAGTATGATCTTCAGACAATATTTATTCTCAACAGAAATAATATCAGTAAATGGTTACTGATTAATGATAAGAGTTCATCTTGCAAAACATTTACATTTCAAAAAACTGAGTTTGTATTTAATTTATTACAATAATCTCACTAGTAAAATTGCCAAAATTAATGTATAGTAGATAAAAATACATGGAGTTAAGATTATAAACCAGTAGTGCTAAAAATAGAACTTAATACTGCTGTGGAAATGCTACATATCATTTGCTTAAAAAAAAGAATCGATGATATCTTATACCTGACACTGAAACAGGTTTTTTCCTTCGTTCTGAAGAAGTACCGTCTATTTTCTTTTTACTCTTACTCATTGTTTGTGTTTCATCCCAGAGATCTAGGAAACAAAAATAAAATAACAAAAATGTCAAAGGATTTTGAACCAAAAAAGTAAAGCTTTATGTACAATATATAACAATTTGACTACAATGTATTACAAAATACAAAGTGAACAAAGTTGGCGTGTACAAAAAATTTTTACTTTGAAAAATGTTGACTAAAGTCTTAATCATAACAAAGTTGTGCTAATCGCTAAATACTAAATTTCACTGATTAAACACATTACCTGAAGATATATCTATATTATGTCTATCTTCCTCTAGTCGGCGAATTCTATCCTCAAGTTCACCTTTGACACTATCATATAAAAGTTCCTTTTCACTCTAAAGTGGAAAGAAACCATATGAAATTTTGATTCAAAGAAAGAACAATTAATGATACAAGCAGATTTACATAAAATTAAAGTATAGAACATAATATTTATTTTTTCTGATAAAGTTAATATAAGATTATTTGCAAAAAAATTATTCATGAATAATGCAACAAGTAAATGTCAGAATAGAATTTATATTTTACCTCTAAATTTTGCTGTGCAGCTAAAACCTCACTTTCAAATTTATTTTGAATACTGTCTATCCTGAATTCCCTTAAGATTCCTGTGAGAAAAAAAAAATTAATATAATGTTCACCTTCATTTTACTATTTGGAAATAAAATGACAGAACACAAATTCAACACATACAAACTTTATATTATTGTTCTAACTTCTAACTATTGTTCTGTACAAATTTAATTGTACATGTACCACTAAAGTCAGGCTATCTATTTATATTCAGCCACATGCTAAGTTTCAATGCTTTGCCTATAAATTGAAAACACATTATTTACATGTATAATACAATTATTTTTTAAGCTAAATTTGTGCAGTAGAATGTAAATTGTCCAGAACTTTGACCTGCTACTTCTGTTCTAATCCTCATGTTTTCCTGTAGTTGTGCCAGAGGACTGAGGTATTCCAGGGCCCTGCCTGCTTTAACTTCCTCCAGTTTATGTTCGATCTGACCCATTCTCTCCTTGTAAAGCCTGTAATAAGTAAATGTAGATGTCTTAATACAGCTCATGCCCAAAGCAGCTATCATTAAAGATTTCTTTTACATGTGAGAAACTTTGTGAGTAACAGCTTACCTCTTTCCACATTTAAGGACATGCTCAAAATTGGTATATGTTTTAAAGAAAAGAGAATTAATCTTTTTTTTATATATACCAGCCTTGATTACATCAAACATTTACATCTATGTCAGACATCACTGAATCAAGTAATGATTGCTTGATTTAAAGAAATAAGTGATTTTTTTTTAAAATCTGTTCTGCTATTTTAGTCCAGAGACTACAGAAAACGCTTAAGAAGAATGCAATGTTTACAACGGCAATGGTTCAAAATATATTCTAGAAAACTTACACTTCTTTTAAATCTGAGAACTGTTTTTCTAGGTCTGCCATATCATCTAGGCATTCTGTTTTTCTTCTTTCACATTCTTCTTCATCAAGTTCTGTAATATTTATTTAAAAATGCAATGAAGAATTAAAGTTTAAATTTTAGGAATGCTTGTTCATGCACATGACGTATTCTGTTAACAGTTTAAAATAGGATAGGGCCTAGGTATATAAATAAATTCTATTTTCACAATTAGAAACCCTAATCTTTGTCTCTTCTGTGTTTTCCAAGAAAAAAATCCTGTCAAGTCAGTGAATTCCTCGGGAGAAATGGTACCAAAAGCTGCCATTTTGAGGAAAAGAAGTGAATATTTCTTCTCTTAAAATTATTTTTTTATTTCCACAGTAAGAAAATAGAGGGGTTTTAAAATAATGATTTCCTACTTTTTTTAATCGAATAGGAAACCCACTATTCTTATTTATCAAGAAAGTTTGTCTTTTTTAATTTATCATTTTTATTTTTTACTATCACAGAACATATTAACAGTACTGATATTCCAGAATGGTGCAAACTGGAATCGGGTTCGACATCGCAGTTAAGCTGAGAAAATTCGAAATATGAGTTATCATTTCTAATAATCGCACTTTAGAAATGATAGAATGCGCGAATTTCTTCTCCTTAATAACTATAACAATCTACAGACATGCTATATTAATTAATTCAATGATTTATGGAATGTCTAGAAGGGATTCCCCGTCTTCCTCTACACATTTTACCTGAACCATCTTCTTCCTCTGAACCCATTTCTGAGTCATCATCAGAACTGTTGTTGCTTCCCGGGGTTTCTTGCTCCATTTCTTCTTCCTCTGTTTCCGTTTTCCCGTTCTCCAAGACAGGCATTTTCATCATATCGTATCAAAATATTCAACTCATTTCCCAAACATTCAAAGTGCGCGTAGCGGAAGTTTGTGTCGGAATTAATGGCAATGCGCAGGTGCATTGGAAAACCACACTGTTTCTATTTTTACATTCATAGATACAACATAGGCGGATCTGTTGTCTGTTTTACAAAATAACTTACGACTAAGACCAAAACTTTAGTTGATTGTAAAATTTTACAACATTAATATTGGGCTTAGAATTGCAATCATGAACATATCTTTTACATTCCTTTTATCATTGTTTATAAAGTTTAAAACAATTTTTTAGTCCCCCCGGTTCCGACGCAGGGCCTATGGCCAGCTTGTAATTTTTCTTTTCGCTGTAGCATGTCTATAGTCCATTGGGGTCGACATTTTTCTACAAACAAAGTCGTTGGAAGTGGAGTGCAGTGAAGGTGGGGCTAATTGAAAGTCAGGGGGAGGGGGGCTAAATAAACGACAAAAAAGTTTGGGGACGAAACCCCTTTGCCATAAAGGGGGGGGGGCACTAGTAATTAAGACCCCCCTCCCCCGGTTCCGACGCCAAAGACAAAACCTGGTTCTTTGAACTCCAAACTTAAGCCTAACAGAAGGATATACAGACACTATATGACTTTCAATTAGCCCCACCTTCACTGCACTCCACTTCCAACGACTTTGTTTGTAGAAAAATGTCGACCCCAATGGACTATAGACATGCTACAGCGAAAAGAAAAATTACAAGCTGGCCATAGGCGTCGGAACCGGGGGGACTAAAAAATTGTTTTAAACTTTATAAACAATGATAAAAGGAATGTAAAAGATATGTTCATGATTGCAATTCTAAGCCCAATATTAATGTTGTAAAATTTTACAATCACTATACACCCTCCAACTCTTCAAGTAGGTGGGGGTATAAAAAAAAATTTCGAGGAAAACGAAAGTGTACAGACGTACTAACCAAGCCTGAGATTAAAATTGAACTATACGCCCGGACTTCCTTTCGAAATTGCAGGTATAATATCTAGTTGTGTGTCAGTGTGTCATAAAACCTTATTTGATAATTTGTAAGAAATTGATATAAAAGTTATGCTGACGGCAAATTAACCGCAAACAAAACTGGGCCATTAGAATTATTTATCAGTTGCTAAAAAAATTTCGTCACAGAAAATCTCTATGTAAATTAAGAATTTCCTGTCACAGGCTAAAAAATGAAGTGGGAAGATTTACCAATATTTCTCGAGAAGATCGATTATGTAATAAATGTAATTCTAACAGTATACGTTAGATGAAACTAAATTTTTGATAACATCTAAAAAATATGATCATCAAAGGAAAGAAATATTTCAGTAAATTGCCATACTTCACAGCTTTGGTTGATGAACAAATACTTTATATTGGTTACTCAGAAGATAACTTAAAGGAAACTTAATTTTGAGGACAAATTTATAAATGATAACATGATATAGTAGGCATATTCCTCTACACATGTTCATGTATATTGTATTCCTTTTAATTGAATCAGGATTATTGTTGAAATGATATATGCCATTTACTTTTAAAACTATTTTGCTATTCATTGGCTTATCCTTTCCTTATTATCGTAATAATCTTATACTTGTCTCTTCTGGCCACTACATTAGAAATAAAATGTTTTGTATTGTCCAGCCGCTTGAAAAGTGGGAGAGGTATATAGTAATCAGGATGTCCGTCCATCTGTTACGATTGGGGCACCCCATCTCTTATCCGCACATGTGCTGCAACTCCTCTTATACCACTGAATGAAACTTAATGAGACTTTTACCAATGCATAGAATCTTTGTTTCATAGTGCCATTGTGCACCTTTTATTTTACTTTTTGAACTGACGAAATCCAATACCAAAATATGGACACTATCTTTATAATATGTTCGATACAATACAATTTATAAATAAGTCAAATGATGACTGGCGTTTTTCATACTTATTATAGGCCATTATACTCACTTGATTGACAATGGATATTTCCGTTATTTCCCGATCATGGCAAGGAGCACACGGCTGGTGTGACCGGTCGATAGGGAATGCTTACTCCTCCATGGTACCTGATCCCACCTCTGATGTTTAGGAGGTCCTTGTTTGCTCTGCTCCTTTTTTGTATTGTTTTATGGACTTTTGAGCTTGAATACTGTTAGTTATCTCCATATACTAGTATTTCATTGAAGGGTAACCATCTCGAGTGGCTTACATGTATATTGCTTTCTGCTAATGTGTTGGATAGTGTGAAGTCATAGATCTTTAACCTGAGGTGCAAAGCATAGGCGTCGGAACCGGGGGGCTTCCGCTATGGGAGCACTTGTTTTGAAAAAATAGACATAATATAGGCATTGAACATCGGGACTTAGGTTTAGCCTCGCCCCCTCTACTTTCAACAGACACATTGCAGTTTATAGCTCAAGAAGGGTTAGTGATAGTGTTTGTGAAAAATATACTGATAGAAGTTTGATCCAAGTAGTCCTACCCCCTTTCAAACTTCCTCCGACGCCATTGCAAAGTGTGGATAGACTAGGAGCTTCCTTTCGAAGGTATTGGTGGTAAAGGGGGGTTTCAAAGGGAGCATTTTTTCAGACTCAGACATCTACAATTTTAATTTGACCAGTGAAAATATTGTAGACGTATTTACAGTTTATATCGAGATGTAAAGACCACTTTTACAATTCTGAGAACTCTTAACTTAACCTTTTAATCTGCTTAGCAAATATGAAAACTTCCTTACTGAATAATCAAAATTTGATCAATTTGTTGAATCTCCTACTTATCAAATATAATTCAAGATATCAATTTCGTTTCCTGCACAAAGTATGGACTCCTGTTGCTTTCGATGAAAATTTCTGATCAAGACTTAATATTAACAACACTTTAACTTGATCTTCAATCTTAACTTCAATCTATGAGAATAGTTTTGTCCTTAAGGAGGGTCCACACTTTTACGGATCCGGTTTTAATTTTACACACCAAAATAGAATTCTGATTATCAATTACCAGTTGAAAAAATCTTTTTGGATGATTGAAAATAATTTAGTTAGTATGTATTTGTTTAGTATGATGTCATTGAGCATACAAAGCATCCAATACCGTTATTTATGGAAATTTTAACACTATGCACTCTGTCCATAGGAACTACGCGTGTCATTTATTACATACACAGACACAAAATTCTTTATTGCATTTATGGACCTAATGCTTTTTATTTTTTTTTTTTATCAAACTAACTTGAGATCTATTTTTAATTCTTTTAAAGTCTATATCATCTTTTTAAATTTTACTTTTCTAAAAGTTTTGTAAAGAATGATTGAAAATTGATATTTCAAATATGGGGGTATACCTGTTCAACAGGCTAATTAGTCGATATTTTTCTACAAACAATTAAAGACAATGGGAGCTAATAGAAAGTAAAGGTGGGGCTAATTGAAAGGCGGGGGGGGGGGGGCTAAATCAACGACAAAAAGTTTGTATACTAAACCTCATTGCCATAAGGGGGACGGTTACTAGTAATTTAGACCCCCGTCCCCGGGTTCCGATGCCTAAGACAAAACTCGCTTCTTTAAACTCCAAAGCGTAACTGACGAATGTATAGACATCCCGATCACTATATACCCTCCGATTCTTCAAGTGGGGAGGGGGTTATAAAAAGGAAATCGAGGAAATAAAGAAAGTATAATATAGGCATTGAGCATTGGGACGTAGGTTTAACCCCCCCCCCCCCACCCTCGTCCTCTTACAACAGGTACATTTGCAGTGTATAGCTAGAGAAGGGTTAGTGATAGTGTTTGAAAAAAAATGCACTGAAAGAAGTTTGATCCAGTTACCCTTGCCCCTTACCCTTACCTTTGTCCACAATCTTGAATGTTAAAATTGTTGTCCGTCATTTAATTACATGCTTTTATTAGTAAACTCGGAAACTTAATTACCTGTTACTTTGGATTTCTAATATGTGCATTCGGGAAGAGTCTTTGGAATACGGGTTTACTACTTCCGGCCAACGGCGCCACTCACTTTCCCTACCAACATTCCCTCTTTTCCGACCAACGACATATATTTTGACCCAAACTACGTGGTCATTCTTTCATATATTCTTAACAACATAATATGTGTCATAGTGCACACCCTATATTTTACTTTTGATCTGACATTCAATTAGGGTATCCCAGTGGAAAACACGAACTTGCTATTATAAACATATGGGTAGACGGGGGTATCATTTAGTGAGCTTATTGCTCACAGTACCTCTGTTTTTTTTTACCTCATTTCTCAATGCATTTGGCCAGGATTTCAGCCAATGTAAACAAATACATGTAGATTGACATGGATCACCGGATTGCTAATGAGTTAGTATCTTTCATTATAGAATAATATATATATATATGACATTTACCGCAAATATAGAGAAAATCTTTGGAAGAAAAAGTTGAACACTTATATACCATTTGGTATTAACAAAAGAGAACACTTCTGTCTTTGAATTGGATTTATGAACTTTATGAACATTTGTGTGAAATTGTGATACTTATTTTTACAGATATACTTTTATATATATACTTTAAAATCATCTTTTTAAAGCTATATATGCCGTATTAGTGTTTTATTTTAAAAGAAATAAATATATGTGGTGTCTCATCAAGTTATATAAGTTATATACTTTCTGCAAATAAGACAATTCCACTCCATGACTTTTAAAAGTTATGAAATATTATTTGGTAAAAATTATTTTCTCTCCGAGTCGGATAATAAACCGCCTCTTATTGAAACATTCATGATCACGTTGTCTCGCATGCTCACAGCAAACAATGGTCCAATCTCGTGAATGAACCGAAAAGCATGATGGTCTACTACGTTTTTACTACAAACACGTGAGTTAGGGATTGTCAATACGTGAGCACACCTCAGAGTTGGTTGCTTTTTGTACCGAGGATAAATCATGTGCAACTGTCTTTTCACTGGACATTTTCGGTTGGGTGAACTTCATACTGAAGATCCATAGTCGCTATTTTGTAA